CCAGCAAGGGGTAGATGGGAGGTACTGGGGTTTTGAGTGACAGTCCCATGACCATACCTGGGACCCCGGAGGGACCGGAGAGAAGATGAGGCTAGATTCAAGCCTGTCACTGGGACGTGGTCGCAACTAAGTACGTGAGTGGCGAATTCTGGAAGAAGGCCTGTTTTGTGCGTAGCTGTTAGGCTTGTGCTTTGTTTGTTTACAGGTTGCAGGAGAGGAAATAAAGGCCTTGGAGTCCGGGCATTTCCGGTGTGTGGTGAAGCCACGTAGGCAGGGCAGCCCCAGGCGCTGGTTCAGGGCCCGTGGGCCAGGAGTGGCTGAGGCCATCAGGGAGAGAGTCCTGGTGATGCAGCTGAGAGACCAACGGTGGGACCTCGCGGAAGGCCTCGCGGCAGAGGCCAGAGGAGGACGGGAGCTCAGAAGCAGGCGGGGGTGGCCCGAGGGCAAAGCTGTCGGTGGGGAGGGCAGCTGTGCTTCCCTTCATAGTGCCTGTCCCAGGTTATGGTCACATGTTTGCTGACGATGTCGTCGTCCCTCCCAGTGACCAGACCATAGCCCGTGTCCCTCCCAGTGACCAGACCATAGCCCGTGTCCCTCCCAGTGACCAGACCATAGCCCGCAAGGGCAGGGCTGCCGTGTCTTTATGCTCATAATTGCTTCCTCACTGCCTAGTACATAGTCTCAATAAATAGATTTGAATAAGGAAGGAAAAAGGCCAGGATTGGGCATTGCTTCAGGTGCCAAGGAAGGGACTGTCACCGTCCTCAGGGAGCACAGCGTGGTCAAGGTCGAGACCTACAGAGACACCACTGGATTTGTCAGCTCAGGTGTCACTGGGGTCCTTCAGGAAGCAGATCGGTCATAGGGACAAAATGTGATTGCAAGGCGTCAGGGGCGAGCGGCTGACAAAGTTCATGCAGTTCCGTCAATGTCATCAAGGACGCAGGGAAAAATATTAACCTCTTATTTGAGGGTGTCGGAAAATACAGAAAAAGCTTCCCTTTTTTTTTTTTTAGGATGGGAATCATCCGATTTTAGAGGGTAAGATATCACCGGGTGTGGAGGGATTAAAATCGAGAGGGTGAAGAGAGAGCAGCGGAATGGTTAGTGGGGTTCGTTCTCCCTGTCGAAGGTGGAGAGGGTTCAAATGTTCCCTGACGACGGACTTCGCAGTGTTTTGTGGAGAACACGCAACACATTTTTTTCCAAGGAATCTGGCAGGGACATCAGATATGTGCCCCCAAATTTCAGGTAAATGAAGTTACGAGAGGCACAGAAAGATGAGTTACGTTTTGAAAGTAAGAACCTTCGCTTTTTTCCAGGGGCACGAC